CTCCGTCCCCGATTATGGCTCCTGATTATATCTATTACTTTAAGGCTATTTGTATTTTGTCAAATTTATGTTATATCAGGGCTCCATCTAAACAAGCTGTGCTAAATTGGATACCCCCTGAATAAACATTGATTAAAATTTAAATTAACATTAAATTAGAATTAGTTTGTTTTTTTGTATGACTAAAAGAATAATTTCATTTTGATTGGCTGGGAGCAAGCAAATTTATCGTTAATTTTTAATTTGCACTGCACTGTGAATTAAATTGCACGCGTTGTTAATTTTCTCAGCCACATAAAGAGTAATCGTATGAAAGCTCGAACAATTAAGGCCTAGTTTTCACTACGACATAAGCACAACAGTATTAAGGACGCCCATAGCACAAGCATAAATACAAGCACACGGTAGCGAGGACGCACACAACACAGGCAAAATAAAACCATTTAGTGACAAGCTGGAAATAGTTTCTCTCAAAGTCTCTTAACTGATTTCCACACTTATAAAAAAAATTGAGAACTTTGTAGTGTATCACTGATTACATAGCGGTGTTTACAGGTACGTTCCCTTGTTTTCTTTACGTGGCTCTTGAAATTTTGTAGAGTTTTGGACAAAGATCGTTGACGTAAGCTAGTTAGAATCTAAGCCTCCTACGCCGAAGCCCGTTGGGCTCTTCAAGCAATCTTCCTTCCCCCTAGGAACGTGGGAGACGAAGATTGCGCAACGAACCCAACGAGCGTCCACTTTGTAGGTTAGGTGAGGTTAATTTAGTGGCGGATCGACGTGAGCTCGGGCTCTTTGTGCATCCCTGTTTTCTTTGCAAAAGAACGTGACGATTCTTATCTTTGATTACTATTTTATGTTTCAATGGACCCGCTGAAAATGTATCTGAGTCAACTATCGGTGAGGTGACTTTCGGGGCCATTTACCCACTGCTTCCCTCCAAGGTACGGGATTGCACTACAAAGCACTTCTAAACTCATTTGAATCTCATACTTAATAAGAATAGATCACATTTGTCTCATGCTTCGTTCTTTAAAACATTGAATCGTTATTCCACATTGAATCATCGTTCCAAGAATTCAAATAAAATTTGTTAATGATCTATAGTCAAAAGATGCGATGTTAGCACCTTTTTCCATCTGCTTTAGATTGTCAGAAACGCGATGAAACTAGTCAGTCGATACCAATCAGTACTAATAAGGTCATCAATTGCCATTGGAAATCGATGACAATCGGTCTGAAGGTCACAGAATATTCCTCTTCATCGATTGCCATCGATTATCAATATCAATCGATTGGACACCCCGGGTAACCAATCAAAGAATAGACAAACAGGAAGGAGTAACACAAGGCCAATTTAGAGCTATAGTCGAATTTAAATGTTGCTCTGTTATTGCTCATATCAACTGGTTAAATCGGCTAAACGTATAGTATTTGCTGGGAAAATGGTTGCCAATTTGTTACAAAATAAGTGAATTTGTTGGCTGTAAAATTTTTAGAACCAATATGCTGCTCATTTCTAACATGGTCTGGTCACGTATCTTTTGCAGGCCAGTTTTTGTCCCGGGGTATCCAATCTATGAAATCGATAATCTAGAGCAATCAATACCATTCGACATCAATTAATTGATTGATATCAGTTGATAATCAATGGCGAAGATTCGTGTGGTTATCGATTGGTATCGATTTTCGTGCGGACATGGGCCAATACTACAGACTTGAAAAAACGGAAAGTGGTTGCATCGTGCCTTCACAGAAAAATTCTGGTAACAGAAGTTGTACTTTTGCAAACAATGAAATTGCCGACAACAGCAGCATGAGTTGTTGCAAAATAATGAATAAAGCAGCAATACCTAACCTGATAATAACGAACCTAACCGTGCTTAAAACAAAGATCACATATATACAAACTAAAAACTCTATGAAGGCGCCAATTGTGTCTAAAAGATATAAAACATGCTGAGCTGTCCACGATGGCTAACAACTCTAAACGTGTTTCCACTTTCTCTCCTCTTCTTGTTAGCAATAAACACTTCATCGACGTTCACCTCAAAACGGTAAGGATGATAGCCTTTGACGATGTACCTTATATTCAGTAAAGCCTCTTCCCGGATTTCTTGCGTAGACATAATGACACGGAAAGGCAATGACGGGCAAGTGGATAATTCGAGTCCACGTGCAACAGGGTGTATTCTTTGCTTTGAGAAGACTGGATCGGAATTTCGTCCCCAGGGCTTCCTAATCGGACAGGTAGCGTGCGTGACGTCTGTTTGAGGTTGCTGTGCCAATCGATAGCAATCGATGAACGGTTTTTGTGTGGTTATCGATTGGTCATCGATTGACCGATACCAATCGATACCAATGAACTAATTTTATGGATTGATCGATTGGTTTTCCGATCGTCGATTTCCATCGATTGGATATCCCGGGTTTTTGTCTGTCCGCAGCTTCATCACGACAACGACATGATATTCTGGGTTTTTGCCTATTGTTCGTTGTCATGCGTTTTGCATGTCACATTGGCCAATCCGCAACCATTTTTGAGTTTCATCTGAAGTCATTACCATGTGTATTTAGTAGACGATCGGTCAACCAGTCGGTTGCTTTACTTTACTTTTTGCTGCTACACTGTGCTGACGAGACCCAACCAGGTCGAAACAGCTGTCCACGGTTGCAATTCTTGGCTTTCAGTGTCGTTTTCCCGTTAAGCTTTCTACGTAGTAATCAGCCTTGCTTCATTGTTATGTTTCTATTTTTGGCTGATGAGATCTTTTACAGATCCTATCTAAACCGGCAGCATTTTCGTTTGCGGTCTCTTGCATCATTTTATTTACAGATTTACCCAAGGGAACTACAGTACGAATTACCACTCGCATACAACAGGATTTAGCTAAGAGAAGAAAATAACCAAAAACATAATATCAATAGAAATAGTTTGAATTGAGTTAGAACTTAAGAGTTCTGTAGCGGGATACAACTGTACGTGACCAAAATTAACTCGAAATGCTCATGAACTAAATTAACTTAGTGTCCCGGGGGTACTCCAAGAAAAATTGGGCGGGGGTGTGCGGCCCTCCTCCCAAAACCTTTACCCTATTTATGACCAAAATCTGCGATTTTCCCTACCCTATTTATCACCTGACCAAAACTTCTGCACCCCATTTATGACCTGATCCTAAATCAATACCCTGTTTCAGACCTGCCGTATACTTAGTTCCCTAGTTCAGATCGATGTTAAAGGCATCGTGAAGGGCTTTTGTTGATGGTCTTATCGATAATGATAAAAAAGTAGCTTCTTCTAAAAAAAAGTAGTCTCCTTCGCAGCCGTTATTAGGTTCATCACGTAACGCGTTGCGTGACGCAGAAGCGTTGCGTGACGACCCTAATAACGGCTACGAAGGGGACTACTAGAAAAGATATCCAATTCAAGACTAGAGTGCAAAACTCATACCCTACATCTGACCAAAATAGCTAACATCGATACCCCAATTATGACCAAAATTGCTGAAAAACCATACCCTTTGCAGCCACAGATACCTATATAGCCCATATAAGGGAGCATCCCCCTCGGGCTCGGTGTAGTCTGACTCTATACGATAGGAAAAAACAAATAAGATAATGTTGATACGGAATGTTAAACGGCATGTCTGTTGAGGGCACAGACGCTGAACGACTGAGGCATCGAAACAATTCCATTGATGGGTTTCAAAGTTGGAAGATCGCAGCCTGGTGGATTCTCGAACTTGAAGCTGTGCAGCAAGCGTGCCAACACCAGGAAGAGCTCAAGCCGTGCCAAAGACTCCCCCAAGCAAACTCGACGTCCAGCCGAGAACGGAAGGAAACGGTCAGCTTTTGGAGGCACAAAATTACCTTCCTCGTCCAGGAATCTTTCAGGCCTGAAGGCGTCCGGGTCATCCCAAATCTCTGGGTCGTGGTGGAGGGACCATAGATTCATTAGGATTGTGGTGCCCTTAGGAATAGCATATCCCTGCAGAGTGGTGTCCACGGTCGTTTTATGAGGAACCGACAGAGGGACAAGAGACGAGAGACGAAGGGTCTCAGTTATGGTGGCTTCCAAATATGGCAGATTCTTCTTATCCTCCAATTCTGGCAACCGTTCTGGACCAGTGACTTGATCTAACTCTTGATGCAACATCTGCTGGACTTCTGGGTTGTGAATCAGGTACAATAATGCCCAACACAGGGTGCTGGCAGTGGTTTCCAATCCGGCCATAAAGACCTCAGCCATGGTCATGATGAGATTCTCGTCTGTCAGGAACTCCCTGACAGATGAATCCTCATCCTCGGCTTCTTTCTTTGCCTTCAACAGCGCGTCTGTCAGATCTTGAGGATTATCAATTCTATTCGCCTTCACATGTTCTCGACAAATTCTGCCAACCAGCTCGTCTCGTTCTCGGCATTTCTTTTTTAGCTTCTCAATAGACTTGAAGGGAATAAACCACAGCCATGGAAACACGTCCACAACACTTCCCGCCGCGATCACACTCGCTACTGTGTTGGTGATTTCCATAAACTTCGTAAACTCGGGATCATCCAGCTCGTATCTCGAGCCAAACACCAAAGCACAAATCACATTCATCACGGCCAGTCGAATCTCTTTAGTGATGTCGTGTGGTTGTCCATTTCTGGAGCGGACTCGCTTCAAGAGCAGGTCAAATTCATCATTAATGACAGTTCCTCGCTTAAGCTTGACGTTACTGTATGTCTTGAGCGCAGAGAGAGCAACCTTGCGATGAAGCTTCCACTCCGGAGAATAATCTGCTAGTCCGATTGCCTTTCCCTTTGAGTAAACTTGGGCGGTGTAGATACTCGGACGTCCGGCAAACTCGGCAGATTTTGTAACGAGGACCTCCTTGAGAGCGTTTCCACCACTAACTACTACCACGAGCTTACTGCCAAGATACAGACGAAACACTTTGCCATATTGTTTTTCTAATTTCATGAGGTCAACATGGCGTGAATCGGCAGCCAATTTATGCGCATTTCCAATGATTGGGAAAGGAAACGGCCCTGGAGGTAGATTTCTGTTTGCAGTGAAGTGATTGATGACCAGTGTCACCAGAATAACCGTCAAAATGATCCATGCTAATTCTTCAATCATGGTTGTAGCGAGTTCGCGCTTGAGACCGTTTTGCACTGAGCTTGGTCATGGCTATTGTTTGCAGTAATTAAATCTGTTGCATAAGTAATCGATTTTCGTTTTGTTGACATAGCAATGTTTTCACAGTCCTGTGGAATTAGTCTGGAATTGTTGCTGATATCTAACTCGAGATTATGGCACGGTAGTTTTAGCCAGGTTGTGAAAGATTTCTTTCCAAACACTTTAGTTACGTGTATTGCAAGGTATAGAAATCGAGTTGTTGATATTTCAAGACTTACTTTTCAATTGAACTCATTTGATATGCTTTTTGATGATCATATTCGGATATAATTAAAACGCAATAATCTCAATTTTAATAGTAACTGATAGCCTACGGTGCAGTTGGACGTGTTATTTTTAAATCCAGACTGTCTCAGTGTCACACACACACAGAGGCTAGTAGTGGACAGCGTGAAGTGATAACCGTGACATTCAAGGAAACTGAAAAGCGAATTCGCGAGGGAAATTTTAGTCGAGCCTCTAATGTGATGTTAAATTTACATAGGAACAATTTGATCCGTCACAAACGAACTATTTGTCTAGAAATTGAAGAATAGCGGTGGATTATTCGCTTACCTGCATAGAGACTACAAAAGCTTATCGCAGCAGGGTTTTTTTTTAATGGATTAGCGATTAATTAAGGAATAAGACTGGCCAATTATAGGAAAAAACGTTTCTTTGCTTCCAAAGAAATTAAGATTCGGTAACAACACATCGCCAGATGGTGAACAACCTCGTTCCCAGGGTCTCTCATCTTCCCGTGCCCTCTCATCTCGGGGGGCTGGAATGAGAGAGATGAGAGACCCTGGGAACGAAGTTAGATGGTAAATTGTGGATAGGCCTTTTGCAACAGTTCGTCACGTGACCGACAATTCATAAACTTTCTTGCCACAGATACATAAATTTCTGAACTGGGGAAAACATGTTTTAAATAGCTAGAATACCAAATTTCAGACCAATACCATCAGAGCGTTGAGATCTAATGAAGATCTCAATATTACAAAAAAGAAGGTTTTGTATGCAAACGAGGAAGTTGCCCCCCAGAAACCTTTTCCGCTGTTAATCACTACAAAAAGAAGCTGCTGCCATATAGCAATTGGAGATATTAGTTAGAGGCAAAATATTAGAAAGAATTGAAAATTCTAAGCTCTTGGACCGAAAGGCAGCTGCAGAGATTTTACGGCAGTTTGAAAACTTGCAAAATTACAAGGATTGTTATGGAAAACCACTAAAGCGTGACTGGAGGGCGAAGTGTCTTCTTTCCTTTAGCCTGCAGAACAGGCGGATTAGCGCCCTCTGCCCTGCTAATCCGCCTGTTCTGCAAGCTATCTTCCCTTACAAATCCTTCCAATTTCTAACGTCCTTAAAAATTCCCTCTTAAAAGATATAAACCTGCAAACTTGCATGTAAGGTTATTTGTAAATGTTCTTTCCATTTCTGATAATATTATGCATTACGGTGACTAAATCAGTGTGTTCTTGAAAAGAACATCACGTGACCAGTTGTTGCAATAGGCCTGCTTCATGTGTCAAGAAGGACAGAGGTATGCTTCTTTTCAAGTACATATTTATTCTGTTGTAGTTCACTCCAAATCGGTCGACGTAGGCATGATGACAAGTGGGAGTAGAAGTTTTTCGTGTTTACTAATAAGGCTTGACTCGATTTTCGTATCTTCGAGATCATTTTTACGCTACGTAAGGATTGGGAGGAAGATTCTAGGAACCCCTAAACGTCGTGAGTATTAATAATTCACAATAGCATGCGACGCCACTGAAAATTTCTGAAATCAATTTGACTGGTTATGTTACACAAAACAAAAGCAGTGAAAAACATTTGCATACAAGAAAAATTTATACTTCGGTTAACCTTTAATCCAGGGTTAGCGTTAACCGGCTTCCGAACAACCCGGCCCTGGTTCTGAGCAACACAGCTAATCATCTAAAAATAAAACCCAGAAGCAGAAAACGGGGGAAACAAATATTATTTCGTGCTGAAGCAAACCACGATGCAAAACCTACATCAGTTTTATCTGTTCACACATATTTCTTATATTTCCGCGGCTAAGCATGACGACAGACATGAGTATAAGAGTTTCAAGTTAATTCACAATGAACGACCAAACAAACGGAAACGGCAACCGCGAGGGGGATTGAGAACTAAACCAATACTTAACTCGAGATCTTGCTTTTGCTGCTGCTAAGATCTACTGGCTGAATCAAAATCAGAATTTGCTGAGCAAATGATTGTAAATTTATTACGGATTCGAGGAAATTATAGGAATAACCCTTAAAGGTAGTGGATTTGTTACCTACAAATACAGGATTTACCTAAGGCAACTACAGTAGGACTTTACCACTCCCACACAACAGGATTTAGCCAAAGGAGGAAAATAACCAAATAATACTTGCAACCCTAATAAGAATAGTTTAAATTCAGTTAGAACGAGATATGAACTAAATTAATCTGGCGTAGTCTGACTCTACATAATAGGGCAAGTCACATGATAGAGAAAGTCACATGATAGGGAATGTTACATAACATCTCTCTTCAGGGCACAGAGGCTGAACGGCTCAGGCATTAAAACAATGCCATTGATGGGTTTCAAAGTTGGAAGATCGCGGCCTGGTGGATTCTCGAACTTGAAGCTGTGAAGCAAGCGTGCAAACACCAGGAAGAGCTCAAGCCGTGCCAAAGACTCCCCCAAGCAAACTCGACGTCCAGCCGAGAACGGAAGGAAACGGTCAGCTTTTGGAGGCACAAAATTACCTTCCTCGTCCAGGAATCTTTCAGGCCTGAAGGCGTCCGGGTCATCCCAAATCTCTGGGTCGTGGTGGAGGGACCATAGATTCATTAGGATTGTGGTGCCCTTAGGAATAGCATATCCCTGCAGAGTGGTGTCCACGGTCGTTTTATGAGGAACCGACAGAGGGACAAGAGACGAGAGACGAAGGGTCTCAGTTATGGTGGCTTCCAAATATGGCAGATTCTTCTTATCCTCCAATTCTGGCAACCGTTCTGGACCAGTGACTTGATCTAACTCTTGATGCAACATCTGCTGGACTTCTGGGTTGTGAATCAGGTACAATAATGCCCAACACAGGGTGCTGGCAGTGGTTTCCAATCCGGCCATAAAGACCTCAGCCATGGTCATGATGAGATTCTCGTCTGTCAGGAACTCCCTGACAGATGAATCCTCATCCTCGGCTTCTTTCTTTGCCTTCAACAGCGCGTCTGTCAGATCTTGAGGATTATCAATTCTATTCGCCTTCACATGTTCTCGACAAATTCTGCCAACCAGCTCGTCTCGTTCTCGGCATTTCTTTTTTAGCTTCTCAATAGACTTGAAGGGAATAAACCACAGCCATGGAAACACGTCCACAACACTTCCCGCCGCGATCACACTCGCTACTGTGTTGGTGATTTCCATAAACTTCGTAAACTCGGGATCATCCAGCTCGTATCTCGAGCCAAACACCAAAGCACAAATCACATTCATCACGGCCAGTCGAATCTCTTTAGTGATGTCGTGTGGTTGTCCATTTCTGGAGCGGACTCGCTTCAAGAGCAGGTCAAATTCATCATTAATGACAGTTCCTCGCTTAAGCTTGCCGTTGCTGTATGCTTTGAGCGCAGAGGAAGCAACCTTGCGGCGAAGCCTCCACTCCGGAGAATAATCCGCTAAAATGATTGCCCTTCCTTTTGAGAAAATGTGCGTAGTGTAGAGACTCGGACGTCCAGCGAACTCGGCAGATTTTGTAACGAGGACCTCCTTAAGAGCATTTCCACCACTGACGAATACCACGAGCTGGCTGCCGAGGTATAACCGAAACACTTTGCCATATTGTTTTTCTAATTCCACGAGATCAAGATGGCGTGAATCGCCGACCAATTTGTGCGCGTTTCCAATAATCGGTAAAGGAAACGGCCCTGGAGGTAGATTTCTGTTTGCAGCGAAGTGATTCATGACCAGTGTTACAAGAATAACCGCCAAAATGAGCCATGCCAATTCTTCAAACATGATTGAGCTTGATACTTTTACAGCGACCTTCAAATGGAACAGCTTCGGAAATGAAATCCCAGCCTTTGAATAACTGAGTTTCCTTTTGTTGACTTGGAAGTGTGTGATCTCTCGTCTCAATTTTTTGATGTTGTCTATGCGTACAACTAAAGCCTTGTGGGAATTGTGTCTTATTTCAATAGCGCAAGGACGAATCACAATTTCTCCACATCATACATAATCGATATCTTTAGACCGGAAAACCGATCGAAAAGACCCAATCTTATGCTAATTATCGTGTAAAACTGAATAAACCTTATATGGTCAAATGTAATTAAAACGCACTATTTAAAAGTCGGTCGGTTATTGAAAAACGTGAAACGATGAAATGTTTATAAACTGAGAAACGAAATTCAATTATGAGCCGATTTCTCTTTAGTAAGGTCTCTTTTCGTATTAAAATTAATTGAGAGAAAATTAAATTGAACATCCACAGGGGTGACAAAAAGGGCAATTGAATACAATTGTTTTGATGACTGTACAGTGACTTTGGTTTTCACGGACGGAATTAGCTCGAAGCGTACGGATAAAATACTGCCCAACTGATTTGATCGGGTGGCGATCAGTGGAGGAAAAAGAAAATCAGATTCTACAGTGAGTAGGAAGTTTTCGTAAACTACTAAAGCAAGATTGATTAACACTACCTCGCCGCATTATTGACTTGTCGATATTATTTGCTGTATCAAGCACGCAAGTCGTTTACCATTCAAATGTAGATTTGAACAGTTGTATGTACATGTCAACTCCAACTGGGAATACAAAATCTGCATATGGTAAAGGTAAAGTATGCATACGAGCCAAGGGCTCATCAGGCCGTAGTTTATCCCGATTCCAGTAGCATGAAGCGACTAGGAGTATTTCCTCTCCGCCTGGGTGGGATGCTAGTCCATCGCAGAGTTACCCTGCATGTAGCAAGACAGGGTTATCTGCATATAACAAGACACAATGAATTCTCGTTTGCCAGTTGTATGTTGTATTCAGTCTGTCAGAGTTCCAGTAATTTTTATTCTTAACTCCCTTTACTAAGCGGATAAGTCCATAGACTTTTTATTTTCCTACCGCGCTAAAATGGTCATTCCTTCTAAAAAAAATAAACAGTTTAAAAAGCCTGTATAAAACAGACAGTTGCAACTTAGATTTTACCATGCAAACATGCCTAATACTGGAAAAACTACAATGGCCGAACTACATTGCAGGAGTATTCTCACATTTTATGGCCGAAAGAAAAACTTTTGGCTGGCTAAGACTTGCTTCTGAGAAAGAAGCACTCAAACTGAACCGGATCGCTTACCAAGTCAGCCTCCTGCGCAGAATTTCAAATGCTCACCACGAACTTTACCCCTCCCCCCTCCTCTCCTCCCCTCCTCTCCGTTCCCCTTGCCTGACAAACCTAAATCTGTCTATATGGCACGATGACAAGTTGTCACGAAGGCGTTGTGGACGCTTGTACTACAAGAACATAGGTTGCCTTGGCATTTCCGAACTGCATTGTCTCGTGTTTCTGACAGTGGGTAGTTTTGTTTGTGTAGAAATGTTCTCTCTGGGTTTCGTCACGTCAACCTCACGATACATTTAATTTGTAACGCTATACATARGATTCGCTAAAAAAAGTATCGCAAATTCGAATAATTTTCRGTCTTTCTCTGAATCATACAAGGAAGAAGATAACTGAGACTTATGTTACCTATAACACTGTTCTTTATCTAAGGCTCGCTCCACGGAAACCGGATAAGCTCCGGCCTGATGGTCACTTGGCTCGTATGGAGACTTCACCTTTTACCTTACCCCCTCCACACTACTCCAGAAAAATTTGAAAACACAGCAATCATCGGTCATTTTGGAATTGTGTTTGAGAAAAACTCGATTATTATTGTGGCGTTATCATTTTCGGATTTCAAAATGTTTTTCGTCCACGCGAAAGCGTAAAGCCGGCGTTTTCAAATTCCTCAGGTTTGAAGAGCGTTTCCGAAATGTTCTTGAGGGATTAGTGTGGACAGTAGGGCTAACCGTAGAAATAAAGCTCCGTTTTCAAAATTTTCCGGTGTAGTGTGGTCAGCGCGGCCGGGGCTTAAGAGAAAAACACAACAATCTGGTGTTTTCAGATTTCTTTCGTTATGCCTCTGTTGTTCACTACGAAACTAAATTCATTTCAACTCGAGTTTTCATGCAGATTTATTTGAAAACTGTTACTGCTAGGCTTCGTGTTTCCCCGCTGGGTTCTCTACGCAGATATTTTAGTCTCGAGCATGTGTCGCTATCGCCTCGTGGATCTACAGCTACTTTGACAATGTTATGACGAAATTCATGATCAATAACAGGACAGACGCATGAAAAACTGACCTCAGTTTGTTAAATATTTCATTTATATTCTAAACAGATGTGACGGCTCCCTGTGCGGGCTCTAGCGCGATACACAAGCCCTCGCGCGAGGCGCGAGATGAGAAAAATCTCGCCTCGCGCTTCCCGCGCGCTCGTGTATCGCGCTAGAGCCCGCTAATCCGCCTGTACTGCAGGCTAGGAGACTGTTCGCAGGCTAGGCTGAGAGCGAGAGGTGACTGACATTTCAGGCTATTCGTACGGCAGTTTAGTTGTTTTCACAAAGGCCCATCAGTGTGACTGAAATTGTGAGTTTGTCTGACGGCGTCTCGTGTTCAAGCGGAATAAACGTTGAAATGTATGGTTAGTCTAAGTTCGCATGACAATAGCCTTATCCAACTTGATCCGGCATATCAAATGTACAAATCTGCACATTCTTTGGACAGGTGATCATTGATCCACTTGAAGGTTCAGTGATTGTGCGGAACACTCTGACCACGTAGAATCTAAGCATCATCATGTTTGAAGAATTGGCATGGCCCATTTTGGCAATAATTCTAGTAACATCGATCATCAATCACTTCCGTGGAACCAGAAATCTACCTCCAGGGCCTTTTTCTTTCCCGATCATTGGAAATGCGCACAAATTGGCTGCCGATTTACGCCATGTTGACCTCATGAAATTAGAAAAACAATATGGCAAAGTGTTTCGTCTGTATCTCGGCAGTAAGCTCGTGGTAGTTGCAAGTGGTCCAAGTGCTATCAAGGAAGTCCTCGTTACAAAGTCGGCCGAATTTGCTGGACGTCCGAGTCTTTACAGCTCGGAAGTCTTCGCAGAAGGAAAGGCAATCGGTTTTGTGGATTATTCTTCGGAATGGAGGCTTCATCGCAAGGTTGCTGCCTCTGCGATCAAAACGTACATCACCGGCAAGGTAAAAGAGTTTGGTATTAATGATGAATTTGACCTGCTCTTGAAGCGAGTCCGCTCCAGAAATGGACAACCGCACGACATCACTAAAGAGATTCGACTGGCCGCGATGAATGTGATTTGTGCTTTGGTGTTTGGCTCGAGATACGAACTGGATGACCCCGAGTTTACGAAGTTTATGGAGATTAATGACACTATAATAAAGACGCTTGCTGCTGGGAGTGTTGTGGACGTGTTTCCCTGGCTGGGGTTTATTCCATTCAAGTCTATTCAAAGCCTAAAGGAGAAATGCACTGAACGGAATGAGATTATCAGTAGAATTTACCAACAACATATGGACGCTTGGAGAGTTGATAATCCTCAAGATCTGACGGATACACTGTTAAAGACAAAGAAACAAGCTGAGGAAGAAGACTCGTCTATCAAGGGATTCCTGACGGATCAGCATCTCATCATGACCATGAGTGAGCTTTTCATAGCTGGTATGGAAACCACTGCCAGCACCTTGTGTTGGGCTCTGATGTACCTGATCCACAACCCGGACGTCCAGCAGAGGCTGGATCAAGAGTTGGATCAAGTCATTGGTCCAGACCGGTTACCGGAACTGGAGGACAAGAAGAATCTGCCACATTTGGAAGCCACCCTAACCGAGACGCTACGCCTCTCGTCCATTGGTCCTCTGTCAGTTCCTCATAAAACGACAGTGGACACCACTCTGCAGGGATATAGTATTCCTAAGGACACCACAGTCTTAACCAATCTATGGTCCCTCCACCACGACCCAGAGATTTGGGATGAGCCAGACGCTTTCAGACCTCAACGATTCCTGGACGAGGAAGGTAATTTTGTACCTCCAAAAGCTGATCATTTCCTCCCGTTCTCGGCTGGGCGTCGAGTTTGCTTGGGGGAGTCTTTGGCAAGGATTGAGCTCTTCCTGGTGTTGGCACGCTTGCTTCACAGCTTCAAGTTCGAGAATCCACCAGGCTGCGATCTTCCAACTCTGGAGCCTGTCGGAGGTCTTGTGTTGATGCCACGGCCGTTTAATGTCTGTGCTCTCAAAAGACATGTTGTTTGACTTTTCCTATCATCATTTATCATATATAATTTCGGTTAGTTATTCATAGGTCTAAAAGGGCTGGAAATTAAGCCTGGTTCTCGGGAAATGGGTTTTTGGTTGCTGGTCGACTCAAACGTTAACTAGTGTGAAATGCGAGACCAAATAAGAACGCAAGAACGAGCATGTGTTAATAGAATTCAAGGGCACTTTCATTATGCCAAAAATGTCGGAATTTTCGGTCGGAATTTTCTCGTTTCGTCCGACCGGATCATTCGGGACCACCTCGGGAGGTGGTCCTCTTTGATCGGTCAGTTCAGTCGGAGCGAAATTTGCCGTTCCATTTTGACAAACCGGTTCGTTGCCATACTTCTCTGCAGTAGATTTCACATATATGGGTTTAGGCAAGATAATAGAAAATCTTAAGAGCCTGTCCTGTCGGTTGGCCCAGTTTGATAGGAAAATGCCGTTTCATTTCTGCTTGGTTAGTCTCACTGATTTTCTTGACCGGTCACGCACCCCAATACGAGTTATTAAAATATAACGAACAAAAAAGCCGAAATCAGTATATTATTCTGCTTATTATATGGCTATCGCCTTTTTTGTTTTTTTTTTCACGGGCGCTATTTCAACTGTCTTCCTTGTTAAGTGTTGATCAAAATGGCGGACGAATGTGATCAGGGTATTAAAAACGCAGTCTGCGGACTGCAGACCGGAGGTAAAATGCAGACTGTAGACCAGGGGTAAAATGCAGACTATAGAACAGGGGTACATTGCTGACTGCAGACTGCAGACTGTTTAACTGAATCGTGTTCCCATTTCCATCATCAAGAACTAACTGTAAACAGGCTAACCGAAGAGTTATATAGGTTGACCCGAGTGATATTCGGTCTAACCAGAGTGATGTTCAGGCTAACCAGAGTTATATTCAGTCTAACCAGAGTGATGTTCAGGCTAACCAGAGTTATATTCAGTCTAACCAGAGTGGTGTTCAGGCTAACCAGAGTGGAGACTTTCACTGCGGCTACCTTGAATAATCCTGTTTATATATGGTCAGCACTCGATAATGGAAACATTACTCATTAAAAAAGTCTGTAGTCTACAGTCTGCATTTTACCCTCAGTCTACACTTTACCCCCAGTTTGCAGTGTGCAGTCTGCACTCTGTAATCTGTAGTCTGCAGTCTGCAGTCTGCGTTCTTTTCACTGACCGAGGCTGAATGACTACTTCGCACAAGTCATGACCCAGGTCTCGAGAAGAATGACAGGAAGAGACCAAGCAGCCGATACTCATGTGATACTGCTTGTGGCTCTGATATGCTCGAGGAAGCCAGTAATTCCAAACTGGTGATGCAGGCTATCCAGAATACACACACTATCTTCATTTAAAATAACATGCTCGAACCGTTTGGTTAAATCTCTGAAAATCAGTCGGTGACCCCACCCACTTTTTGTATTCCTCACACGACTATGTATCTCATTGTCTTAACATAGCAAAAGTTTGAAAGGAAATCAATATATAAACAATAGCCTTTGTTTGGCACGAAAATATGCTAGGATATTTATCCCCAGACATTATCTGTTCCGAGAAGCAAACAGTTTTCTGAGAGCGTAGCTTGAGGAAAACTGTGAACTTTGAGGAACTGACCATGTCCAAGGACAAATATCCAAGCATATTTTCGATGGAGACTATTGTGTTTATTATCCTTCAAATATTTTTCGCAACAAGCGTAGTTTTGAAAATTGGGGAATATCACTTGGATATTCCCCAGGAATATTCAGTCACGTGACATGTTTAAACCAATCAAGCACGAGTGAAAGTATTTGATAGATTATAAAAATAACATCATTCATTACTAATCAAAGGATATTTTGTAGGAAAATGTGATATTGACAACAAACTCACCATTTTGAAATATAGTAATCTTCTATTCAATCAAAACTGCAAATAACTTAGGAATTCAAAGTTGATCAAGTGATGATAATCACTTCATTTGTATTGCAGTGGTATATTAAATAATTTGATTACAAAGGAGAAAAATAATGTAAAAATAGCAATTATTACCTATATCTATGACACCTGTGGCACATATTTTGTGCACTGGTGCTCTGTGGACATACTTATATTACTGTAATATCTTTCATGAAATATCTTTCATATAACTCAGAATGAAAAAAATAAACTAAATTCTTTCTAGTAAATGTTCCCATGCCCTTTCAACTTGCTGTTGGGTATATACGGGTTCCCACAAGGTGCAGATAGCGACATTGGCCTTCATGACCCTTTCTTCATTGGTTATTTGTGATTTAATTCTGTTCACCGCTTGTTCTTGAGTAATACCATCTCGTGACAGAATGCGTGATAGAGCCTCATTCTCAGGAACAAAAGTCACCCACACTTCATCTGTAGCACTGTCCCAGCCTGCCTCCAAGAGAACTGCAGCATCCAAAACACAAACCTTGAACCCTCCTTCTCCATATCTTTGAATTTCTGCTTGTGCTTGTGTCATAATTTCTGGCCAAACTATGCGATTTAGCAATGCCAGCTTGGTCTTGTCAGCGAAAACTATGGAACCTAAAGCCCTTCTGTTTATAGTCTGTTCCTCTGTTAAAATGCCACTTCCAAAATTCTCAATGATTTCCTTGTATGCTTTCTTCCCAGGTGTGTAAGCTTGGTGGCCCAGCTGGTCACAGTTGATGACGGCAGCTCCTAAACCTTTAAGTCTCTGGCAGACTGCAGACTTCCCGCTGGCAATTCCTCCAGTTAGACCAATGACATATGGCTGGTCTTGCTCCATCTCTTTGCTAACAACAGGCCTCAAAAGTGTTCCTAAGAGTTTCCGTCTTTCCATAGTAGAGCTCATCTTTTCATCACCTTCATGATGTGTTCCATGGACAAGTTCACCATCTTTCTCAACGACAATATCGATCACATGCACGTCCAGTGGGTTTAAACCTTTCTTTTCTCGCACGTCATTCACCATGAATCCTCCTTTCTCTGTTTCTTTACTAACAACCAGGCACTGATACTCTGGATCTGTCCCTGCTGGGCCAACAGGGTCAATCAGTGGTATGATGTTGTGCTCAAGACCTGTCAAAGATACATGAATACAAGATCAAATTATTAAACAATGGATCATTGGATTATTCAATTCAAGAGTTTTTATCGACTTAGCCATCATGGCATATGAGCCATCATACAATGCTCTGTGCACGTTTTTGGCCGCTTTTAATTCTTTTCTATTTTTAGTTTTCTATATTTTGGGGGTGTTTTTAAAAACAATTATTCCACTTGTGCTTTTTGGATATGAGATGATCATAGCCAACTTGGCCCTACACGCCTCGTTGGCTATCTACCATTTCATATCGAACATGGGCTCTTGGAATAGTTGTAAGTATTCTCACACTTTGATTGGTCCCTACAGTTTATGAGCAATAATTGGAGTAAAGATGCATCAATGATGTGATAAACATTTTTTGTTTCTTTATCTCATTGTCATCTGTGTATAAAGCACGTGTCAGTTCAGCTCTTGATCACACAAGAAGTGAAAATGTGGTAAGAAAATCAGCGACAAACTTGATTATTGCCAAAAATTAATGGATAAGGGACATTTAGAAAATATTTTCCGGGATATTGAGTAGGAAAATTAATTTTTTTTGAAATTAAAATTTATGAGGTATGGGACATTTAGGCCAATAACTAACGGGATATGGGATACTCAGAACCCCACCCCCAATAAGGCCTCTATCCTTCTGTTGAGGCTGGTTTACCTTTCAGTTAGATGGGAAAATTGGCCCATGGGTGCAAATATGTAATTCTATGAAACTTAAGTATGAATGAGAGCGCTTAAGATGTCACTTTGTGTTTCACACTGTTATATTAAGACTGTTTTAGCATGCAGTAACAGAACAAAATCAAACATTCGATAAATTTATTGAACTCAATCAAACTCAATTGAACCCCAATCACGCGATTGGGTTTGATTGAGATCAGCAATCAAACACAATCAAACTCACCAAAAAATTGGCCAATTGAACTCAACTGAACACTTGAATGCCTTCGATTGTTTCCAGTTGGGTTCGAACCAGCTACGATAAGGTTTGATCATGCAATTTGAGGCACCATGTGGCATGGTGATATCAAAATAATGGCCGAGTTTGAATTCATGATATTTCTAGTTAATTATTAATTTGTAGCTATTACTAAGGGTCTGATTACACTTGAGGTTAACAAAATTTGTTTGGCTCAACCAAAAATCTTGACAAACATTGTCTCCGTCAAGCTTTCCATTTATAATTGTAGGTGCACAATTAGTCCCCTTCGCAGCCATTATTAGGGTCGTCACACAACGCTTCTTGTTGTGTGACGACCCTAATAACGGCTGCGAAGGAGACTAGTGCGTTATAAGAGGGCAAAATTTTTGTTGACCACAGTGTCAATCACAAGGTGAGATCAAAGATCAAAGAGAGACCAGATTTACTTGATTGAAGTTTTCCTTCAGATCATGACATGCACATTGAAAAATCTGCCAGTTTTCACGCCTGACAAAAATTTGTCCTGCTCCGGAGCTGGCTTGACAAAATTTGGTAGGAAAAAAAATCACTGTGCGCACTTGTTTCACAAAACTGATGACAGAATCTTTTGCAAAATAAACAAAAATTTGCCTACTGTGCACAAGCCCTAAGACAGACTGTTCAAATTTATACACATGTTATTTGCTGGCTGTGATGAGGTCTTGAAAAGGCATTTTTCACTAAAGCACGGACCGACCCTGAGCCAGTCATTAACTTATTTTTTCCCTCACTCTCAATCAGTTTTATAATATTATTGTGGACCTTTTCCACACAGACATTGCACACCCATTGCCACCACTGTGGTCAGAGATGGGAAAATCTGGACAATGCTTAGAACAATCAGATTACATGATTTGCTACCTTACCCCCTTGCAAAATATAACAGGTGTTATTTAGAGTGAATATTAAATTTTTTGATTGTGTTCAATTGAGATCGATTGGGTTTGATTACATCAGAAATTTTCACAGTGGTCTCATGGTTAGTGCACTCGTCTCTGGATGAAGTAGTCCGGGTTCGAGCCCTGGCCGGGGACATTGTGTTGCGTACTTGGGCAAGACACTTAACTTTCACAGTACCTCTCTCTACCCAGGTGTATAAATGGGTACCAGCAAACTTAATGCTGGGGGTAACCCTGCAATGGACTAGCATCCCATCCAGGGGGAGTAGAAATACTCCTAGTCGCTTCGTGCTATGGAAACCGGGATAAGCTCTGGCCTGATGGGCCACTTGGCTTGTATACAGACTTTACCGACATCAGAAATCGACTGCAATCGAACCCTCCACATCTTTTTTTGCTTTGTGTTTGATTATCGGACTAATCAAACCCAATTGTTTGATTAAATTTGATTACCAAACAGTTTGATTAGAAATCTCAGGTTTAGTCTCGTTTTATCACAAAAACCCATTGGAAATTAAAGGGTGCTTTCCATTATCCCAAAGATTTTGGTCGGAAGTCAAATGGAAAGGTCTGTTTCGGTTCCACCCGACTGGAATATTTGAGACCACCTCTGGAGGTGGTCCACTTTGACTGGTTGGACTGGTCCGACCGAAATTTGCCATTCCATTTTGACAAATCGGTTAATAATTACGCTTAATTCACTTCGCTTACATAGGGAATTCGCAAAAGGAATAAAAAATAGTAAGAGCCATTCCTCTTGGTTGGCCCGGTTTGATCGGAAAATGTCGTTCCCTCGGGTATTCACACTGTACTGGTCTCTGACATAATGGAAAGCATTTTAAAGAAAAACGTGATTGTAATTATTTTCATAAAACAGCATATAAACGCATTGTTAAGCAACGTAACCACTATTATAAGAAATATGAAAATTATCAACTAGGTTGGGTTAAATATAATGAGAATTGCGCAAAGAACACATTATCATCTTAATTATTTATATTAACTCGACTGTAAACAAGAAAAGATGTAAGCTTAATACCTGGCTTTACATCATCGATAAATTCTTCCAGTTTTGTCTTCCTGTCCTGAAAAGGCTCTATTAGTTCTTTTAAGATCTTCCTTTGCAGAAGGGGACCCTCACTTAGGCCAACAGTGATTCGTTTATCACAGATTAAAGAAGCTGCAGCAAGGAGTAGCCGGTGACCGGAATGCATATGGTCGAATGTCCCTCCCAGAACAACTTCTTTGTATGTTTGCAAGCAAGCACCGTTGAGATCGAGACTACGCTGCTTGCTTGTAATTTCATTGTTGATCCTTTCTTCCTCGACTTTCAAATACCTTAACTTTCTGTCGAGATCGGTGAGCTGAAAACGCCTTGTCATCCACTGCTTTAACTCGAATAGACCGACGTCTTTCGACGGATCTTGTCCGAAAACATCACGAACAAATGCGACCTCGGGCTTCTTAAAAAGATGTCTTACTTCTTCGCTTTTTTTGTTGTTCGCGGTCAAAGTCCGAGGGAGAAGAACGCGAACGTCAAGCTGGCCGGTTCTTGAAGAACTGCTACCGTACACATCGACCAACAGTTCGTACAAACTCCGGACATGGTGGCACACGTAATCAGGTTCGTAGATGTCAACGTACAAAACTTCTTTGACTTCCTCTGACACTTGCTTCAATAGGGCGGGTATTTTGGTCCTAATGCAAGAAGGAGACAACACTAACAGCCCGTAACGAAACATCTTTGTTTGGCTATTGTGTTGCAATAGAATTGAGGTCTAAAACACTTTTTGCTTCAAGGCGTTTTATTGCGTAATGACACGTAGTCGAGGAACACACGAAATCCTCACGAGGGACTCCGGAAATATACGATCGTAAATCGATATGCATTCGTATCATCTAATTGAATTTCGTACGATTTGTGAATGTGATTTTGAAAGATCAAAATACTAGTAACAACACGTTTTCAGCCCCTATAAAGGCTTAGCAAATTGACATGGGACGAAAAGTGACTCTGGCAGCATGTAGCTTGAATCAGTGGGCCTTGGATTTTGAGGGCAACCTAAAACGAATTCTTCAAAGCATCAACATTGCTCGAGCACATGGGGCAAGTTATAGGTTGGGGCCTGAGCTAGAAATTCCCGGCTATGGCTGCAACGACCATTTCTTAGAGAGTGACACGTTATTGCATTCTCTTCAAGTGCTTGCCTTGTTGTTGAAGTCTCCAGTGACTAAAGATATTATCTGTGATGTCGGAATGCCGATTATGCATAGGAATGTTCGTTATAACTGCAGAGTTATCTTTCTTAATGGAAAGGTCCTTTTAATCCGACCAAAGATGATGCTGGCTTGTGACGCTAACTACAGAGAGGGTAGATGGTTTACAAGATGGACTAAGGTGTGTATCGAGATCCTAGCCACAAATATAGTTTTAAAATATGAAAAGAGGTACCTGTTTGTCAACCTCCTTCCTCCATGCCCGGGCCTCCATCTCTTCCACCCCCTCTCCTCCCACCTCCCACCTCCCACCTCCCACCTCTTTTCTGCCCTATACCTCCCTTCCCTTCCCCTCTTTCTCTGGTCTGAGTCCTCCTTCTCTGCCACTTTATCGGAGGCAGTGTGGCCAAGTGGTTAGGGTGCTGGACTTGAAATGCGGAGATCACAGGTTCAAGCCTGCTCTGACCGCTTAGCTGGAGTTGTTTCTCGGTAGACCCTAGTTCAACTCCTTGGTCGTGCTTGTAAATAGCCAACTGGTCTGCCTCCTGTTGGGTGAGACTTTTAAGCCTATTACGTTTAGTTGATATATTTGTTTCCTTCATTTAAAGTGGCATGCCTGTGAACTAGCTAGGTGTAGCTAAGCGTATTGACCACTATAAACAACAACAACAACAACAACAACAACTTTGTACTCATTCTCCACCCCTGTAATGTGCTTTCCCGGTGTCAACAGGGAAGAGGTAGTGGTGGTGAAAAAGGCAAGGAAGATCAGGGTGAAGGAATGCTTGCTATAAGAAGCAGGCTTGTCAGGTCATAATGCCCATCAATTTCCATGTAACCCAATTTCATCAACTGTCAATTACTGTCAATATATTTGCCAATCTGAAACTAGTGTATGCCTCTGACCCGCTTCCTGGGAGAATGTTTACATAATTTTTTGCTTGAAGCGATTACTTGTAAACTGAAGGGTGAAAAATGGGAAGTCTTACTTTGAGATAACTATGAGATTCTTTTCGTGTGGAAATGTCTGCTGTTCCCGCAAGGTCTTAACAAGAATGAATATTGCAGGTTCTTTGCAGTGTGGTATTGAGTCTAGTGCAAGAATGTCTTTCAAAAATCTATAATTTAAAAAGTCAACCAGAGAAATGAGTCTAGGGACTGTGTTGGCTGGCTGTTGTTGTTGCTGTTGTCTAAAGCAGGGACGGATCTAGGGGAGGGTGTGAGGGGTGTGCACCCTCCCCCCTCCCTGAGATGAAGCCTTCTTCTTCATTTTGCTTTTAAAATTTGTTTACCTTACCAGTCAGTTATGCCATTCCTTAGTGGTATAGCCCCTCCTGAGAAAAATCCTGGATCCGTCCCTGTGAAGGTGTATGTAGAAGTTGTGGCCACAGAATCTGAAATGCTGAAAATTGTGCAAAGAGAATGGTGACCTTTTTTGTCAACCAACCAATGAAAATGAAAAATACGACCAATTTCTCTTGAAGATTAATTTCTTAGCCTTGACTAAATGCCACTCTCTTCCTGCCAAACATTACAAGTATCTCATCCACATGGAATTTGTAGTTTTTGAAATGAAGTAACAAGTGGAGATGCCTGATCATAGTTTCCTTCTTTTACTAGACAAAGCAAACTGAGGAGTATTTCCTTCCTCGCATGATAGCAGAAATCACTGGTCAGGTGACTGTCCCATTTGGAGATGGCGTTATCTCCACGCTAGATACTTGTGTCGGCACAGAAATCTGTGAAGAGCTTTTTAGTGTGAATGGTCCTCACATAACTATGGCCCTTGATGGTGTAGAGATCATCACTAATGGAAGTGCAAGCCATCATCAGCTTAGAAAGTTAGACAAAAGAGTCAACCTGGTGAAGGATGCTACAAGTAAGGTACGTAAACTGTTTCCCTTCATTTACTTTAAGACCCCTTGCATGGTCTTAGGCAGGATTTGCTTGGTGTTATCCAAACTTTTCGGTTGTGCTTTAAGTGCATCCCTTCAAAGGGGATCTGACAGCAACAGTCCAACATGGAAGACATATTTTGGCAGTTTTGAGGTTAACTATATTCCAATTGTTTTTTTTTTTTTTTCAGATCTTCAGATAATTTTGATTTTCAAATTTTCTGAGAAGGTTTTCAAATTGTGATTTTAAATACTTCTCATTAGCTAGCAATCCAATTGGGGCTTTTGGATATCTGGATATCTGGATATCCCCCTGGCTAAAATTAGACTGTTGGCAGTCTGTTGTTCTGTCAAAATCAGGTGAGCCAGAGGAGAATGAGGCAAGTAGGGGTTGGGACAAGACATGGGTGTGGCACTCACTTGTCTCTTCTTGGCATTTGCATTTTGCATTCATGGAAAAACACTTGTCGTGCCCTGTGAGAATAAAAAGTGGCCGCCAGTAGTTGAGACTATAACTTGGTTCCCTTGGCCACTTAAGAAATAAATAAAGTACTTTTATCAGCCCTTGGCTATTTCAATATGGGAGGTATGGTGACTAATGGTTAGTCTATTCAGTTGAACTCAGATCCAAAACAAAATGTGCTTTTGTGTTTCTTGAATTTTTAACTATTTGAAAAAGAAAAGGATTTATATGGCTTTAACAGAGGATTATTTATTGTCCACCAGGGTGGGGGCATTTACCTTTATGCCAATATGCGAGGTTGTGACGGTGAGAGAGTTTACTACGATGGATGTTCAATGATTGCCGTTAATGGTAACATAGTAGCACAAGGCACACAGTTTTCATTACAGGAAGTCGAAGTAGTGACATCCACAGTTGATTTGGAAGAGGTGCGATCTCATCGTGGTTCTACACCAACGTTTGGTGCAAGTGCAATGGCGGTTGCGGATAGCTATCCCCGTATCAAAGTGGACTTTGCACTGAGTCGCGAGGATGATATCTCTGTCCCCTCAGCTGAGCCTATAGAAGTTCATTACCACACCCCAGAGGAGGAAATAAGTCTTGGGCCAGCATGTTGGTTGTGGGATTATCTTAGAAGAAGTGGTCAGGCTGGATTTTTTCTGCCACTAAGTGGAGGTGAGTATTAAGGAAAACCTATGTTATGACAGAGGCTATATGCCTCCTCTTCCTCCTCCATGGCCTCATGATGTCAGGTCACCTAAAGTGTGAACAGAAATTATTTTAACTGGTCTGTACTTAGCTCTTATTAACCGAGCAGGAGGTCTGTATGGGAGAATCTTGACCGAGGTCATGAGTACAGACCGAATGCAGTGAGGTCTGTACACACGACCAAGGTCAAGATTCTCTCATACAGACCGACTAAGCTTGGTTAATAAGATGTTTATTATATGGCAAACAAGAAAAATGTAATTAACATAATTTCTGGGAGAATTCATCAAACTATGAACTTAAGAAAGTTTGTGTTTAGTGTTTATTAGTTCTTCCCCACCATGTTTTTGAGAGAATGTGGCAAGGGAGAGACAGATAAGAGGGGGATAAGAAGTCTGTGTACTTCACATCTGGTCAGCTGTTGGCCAAATATAGACATAGGGAACTTCTTTTGCATTTTTGATCTAATGGAGCTCAAACTTTGCAACAGGGTAGACAATTCAAATCTTAACAGACAGATATTTTTGTATTTTGATTCTAGTGGTTTTTGGTGGGAAAAAGAGGTCATTAAACTAACAGCAGAATTTTATTTTTACTTTCTGACTAATTAAAAATAATGCATGATTTTCAACGATTGTGTGGAGATAAATTCAAATATTTACAACAAAATAATTGAAAAAGCTCTATTTATTCAAATGATGTGAATATTTGAAGTTTGAATTTTCCTCCATTTTGCTACTTTTTAGAAATTTGGCAAACTTCAATATGCAAATCTTTTTAATTAAAAATCCTTNAACAGTACCACATGAAAGTACTCTTAAGTACCTTTCATGGAAGAATTAACAAACTAGAACTTTATTAGCCCAAGGGGAGGGAGCGGCTGTACACAGGCTAGGACTTTATCTACAGGCTAAAAAGTTAGAACCACCGTGTACAGCACAATGAACAGCACCTCATTTTGCTTTTTCTTTCTGTAAGGAATTACAATCGATACTGCTGTTACCGCTGTTCTCGGGATCTTTACGGCCATCACAGGTAAAATCCCGAAGTTCAAGTTATACGGCGGGACTCATCGCGAAAATCTGGCCATGCAAAACGTACAGGCGCGTCTGCGCATGGTCTTAGCGTATTTATTTGCTCAGCTGATCATGTGGGCACGCGGGCTTCCAGGTGGGCTGCTGGTTTTGGGATCGGCAAACGTGGATGAAAGGTACATTGTTTTCTCCTTGGTGTGACTTGAAGTGCAACATTCTTGGCTACGTGCGGAACTTTTCTTCCTAGAGAGTCTTACCAGTAAAAGCTTTATGCAAAAGAGACGAAGTATGATACATTTAATAGCTTGTGCCAGCCGAGGTTCTCCAAGGAGTACTTTCTAATGGTGGGACTGGCACTTCCCCCCTCCCTGACCACTACGGCCACCTTGACACCTTGACACCTTGCAACCCTCCCCCCCTTCTCCCCAACCCCCAAAAAAGGAGACATTCAGTTCTCTCTAAAGCTTAGCTATGTCAGGTGGCGCATCATAAAACGTAACGTTTACATGTTCTTATTACGTTCGTCCTACGTAGTTCCTCTCTCGCGTTTTAGAACATAGTAAAGTCAAAACTCTCAGTTTAGAGAAACCTTACCCTATTAGTCTATAATTTACTTTTGTATTTTTAATATATTTTTTAATTTGTGTATTTATTTTTTAATAATTTAATGTTATTTTGGATCGGGACCTTTCTGTAGATCACCTACAGGTGAGAAAGCTTCCCGTTAAAATATCATTATTAGGATTACATCAAGAAGTCGTTTTCCTGGTGCTTCTATGGAAGTAGAATAATCCTTGACTAGATAAGCGACTCGTCCACCCCCTTCCCTACCCCCTATCGAATTTTCTAAATAATTCAGAGCAGGTCAAAACTAAGGTCCGATTGCCCGGGGCAAGTAAATTTTGCTCTTGGGCAAGTGAAAATGGAAGTTTGATGGTCCGGTGGGCAAGTGAAATTAGTCTCAGTAGTCTTGTTGAAGTGAAGTGAAGTGAAAGACTTTATTTAATGAGAGTGACCCGTGACAGTAACTTAAGTTACTGATAAACTTGGAGCCCTCAGCTTGTTAGTGATCATTTCCAATCGAAAGCAATGTCAAAACTTAAGACTGCAAGGCGAGCAAAACAATGAGTTAAAAGCATGGATCAATTTAATATAAGCAGTACACAGGCTTGTAATGATGTATGAATGTGGAGTATTCTTTTTTTTGTTGTTGCATGACACTTGACTTCACGTTGTACACTTTTCAGTTTGTGCGGATACCTGACCAAGTACGACTGCTCAAGCGCAGACATCAATCCGATTGGCGGAATAAGCAAGAAAGATTTAAAATCCTTCATTTTCTACTGTGTGGAGAAATTTAACTTTAGTTCACTGATAAGAATACTTGGTGCTCCTCCCACGGCCGAGTTAGAACCACTTGCCGATGGACAAATACAACAGACGGACGAGGTAGATATTCTCAAATTACATTGCTGAGCTTTCTTTTTCTATTTTCTATTAATTTTCGGGTTCGAATCCTGTCGTAGAGAGTTGACTGAGACAGCTGTTTTTCTTTCTGTTGGTCAGAGGTGCTGCTAGGCGTTGCTAAGTAACATGACGTATGGTCGTGACGTCAGGCAGACGTGTGTGCGCTCGCGAGTGCCCATGCAAAGTTTTGATTGGTTGACAGGAATGACTGAGTTGCTTGTGAACTGAATCCCGTGGCGTGTTCCGTTGTTGAACTAATATGTTTTCTGGACACTTTTTGATTGCCTTCATAACCTACAGACAGTCACTACAGCCGTAATCTGGCTTGATTAACGAAGAGTTGACTTGCTGTTTTCGTTGCAGGAGGACATGGGTATGACCTATGACGAACTTTCCATGTTCGGTCGTCTTCGGAAGATATCCCGCTGCGGTCCGTACAGCATGTTCTGCAAGCTCGTCCACACTTGGCGAAACACCTACACGCCCGTTAACGTGGCAGAAAAAGTCAAACGCTTCTTCCGTGCCTACTCAATCAACCGACATAAAATGACGACCTTGACCCCAGCCTACCACGCCGAAAATTATTCTCCCGACGACAACCGATTTGATCTCCGACCGTTCTTGTACAACACTCAGTGGTCGTGGCAAATGCGACTGATTGACGAAGAAATCCGACGACTTCAAGCGGCCGAGTCGCAATTACGTCACCAGCAACCTCCCCATCATGTCAACAGTGACACCTCATATGGGAGTTCACATGATCAGCACATGAGTAGTAACGAGGGCTTGACGTCCTCGTCCTTGCCGGTAAAGAGTGAACGGAGTGGGAACCAGGAGCATCAAACAAGGCGGGAGAGATTAGAGCGTACATTGGAGACATTGACAAATCTCAACAGGGGAACGTCCAGGGCGCAGAATAGGGGCACGCCTCCATGTCCTGCGCTGATCCGAATCAAGTCGGAACCTGTTGATCAAGAGGAAGGCTGTAATTTTCACGTGCCAGCGGAGGAGCCGGGCAGCAGGCCCCGGAAAAGAAGCGAAGCCAATATGTCGGCTCACATGGGGGTAGCCAGTGAAGGGGAGTTTGTAAGCGGGGAAAAGTACATGCGAATTAGGTCACGTTGATAATTGATCACTCGGTTGGCGTATTATCAAGAAAGATTGCCAGGGTCTTCTCGCCCACACAAGACTGAAAAGCCCTTGGGATAAAATGGCCGCGTTGCACTGTTAGGAGTGCTAAGCGTATGAGTGTTTGACTAGTTATTTAGTGGAGCGTAGAAAAGTCTGAAAAGTGTTAACTTTTTTTTTGTCGCACCCTCGGCTGTGTGAGAAGCAGCATTGTTTATTTCCTGGTACAAGTGGAGACTTGTTTCAGTTTGGCTTTTGTCTGAGCCCACAGCTCGTCAGAGGGGTTGCCACGCAACATGCCTTGATGACGTCATACTGACGTATCATCATTTCGAGAACTCGCAATTGTTCGTGCGTGTTTTCATTGGTTAGTAATGTTCGGAAATTGCTCGACTGCTTCTGCGGAGATTTGCCGAAACCAACGACTGTGTCAATAAGGAATCCAAGGGTATATTAGCACACAAGTTTGGGAATAATAGTGTTGTCGACATTCTGGTCTTACAAAAGGTCGGTCGCTCTCGAGCTAAATGTACAGACCAAGAAAAAAGTTGTAGCGAAGGTTATAGAAGTACACCTGATTATAGTCTTTCGAATGTAACTTCCTAGATGTCATTTACAAAGTGTTGTAGTAAACTCATGCTCTCGCTTGTCAGTTTTGAAGGTTAACTGAACAATTTTTTGTTGTTGAGTAAGCCTAGCATTGGAAAATGGGGGAAGTCCGTCTGCTGTAGAATTGAATGTAATGTTGTATGCGCGTTTTCTAGTTCTTAAATGTAACGAATTTTCGTGTTGGAAATGAAATTATTATTACTACGAACGTTGTATTATAAAATCTCGTTTTCATAGACATATTTATGAAAGAGATAAAATAATGTTAATTTTCTACATTCAAAATTTTGAATCGGCGCGGTGGTTACTGAATTCTGTCACCACAAAGGACATTATTGTGTAAACGAGGAAATAATATTTGCTTTGCAAAGGAAAATAACGTTACCTTGTATTCATCTTTGGTATACTCTTGTTATATTTGTCAAATGAGGTGGTACCACTTTACAATTTCGATAAGAAAAGAAAATGAGCTTGTCATTTCTTGCATATAGAATGCAGCGCATGATTGTCTTATTAATGCTTTATTTAACTGGATATTTAAGAAAATGGCTTAACACTGAGTATTAGTTACTAAGGTTACGTGAAATTGAATATTAGTAATATAATGAACGCAATATTTTTGCAAGGTCTTGGCTGTCTTTGGCTCTAATGAATAACAAATTCAAAATGTATTTCTGCCTTGATTTGACAAAACAATACTTCCCGGGATCCACGGGGACGATCGGTTTGAGAGGAGGGACGGGAGGGTGCCTCGTTCGGGCAACACCTCCAGGTACCCCAGCCAAAAGTCCGACATCTCCATACACCTGAGCCCTGGATCAGGAGTATAATTGTAGGCTTGCTAGGGATGGGGAAAGTAATTTTTTGTTCTTTCAACAGAATTCTAGCCCTTTGGAATAATGCTAGCAATGGTTTTTCCTCAGCTGTCCTCAGCTGCCTTGGGGCCTATTTTATAGATGTCGACGAAATTGGAAGGCCTTCAACTTGGCCCCTAACTGATGACCCTAGCTGGCCACAACCTCTCAGAGAAACGGTGTAGCTGGAGTCAGTGGATTCTTACCACTGGTAATTCACTGGATATTTTCCGGGGACTTAGATTTCTATGGTTGTCTCTCTGACGTTCATGTACAGTTCAACCCCGCGTTACGGTCACTTCGTTAATACAGTCTTCTCGTTATTACAGCCACTTTTTTTTGTCCGGGCGAAACGCCCATACATGTTCTTATAAGAAAACCCCGTTAATGCGGCCACCTCGTTAATACGGCCAACGGCCAAAATTTGAAATCCCAACCTATATGATCCTATCTAACTTTACCCCATTTATACGGCCACTCGAACCAGTTACGTTCATCTTTCCAATGTTAGTATTGTGTGAACTGATTAAAGTTTCAATTTTTCTAAAAAAAATTATATCTGCATTCCGGATACTTATTAAAGAACAGTTGTTTAGCAGTGCAATTGTGATATATCTGTGAAGACGTCGCTTAATTTAGACCCAATACGGCTAATTGGGAACTAAGGTTCCTCTCGTAACGAGGTATGACATTAAAAGAAGGAGACAGTTGAAAACGATGCCTCAACTCTAAAAACCAATAAAACATTAAGAGACACGTATTAAAATACACAAGTCGTTGATACCATCTGGCAAATTTTAATGAGCACACAACTGTTACAAAGACGTTTCTTTGTGAACAAGCCTGCATAATAAAGAGAAAAAAAAAACACTTCAAATCGACTACTTGTGCATTACTACCCGGGATTGCTATAAATCTACTTCAGTTCCACACGGTCAAGGATAACATTTCTTAGTCCAAGCTCATTGCCTCGTCTTCATCCTTATCTTTGTCCTCAGTCTCCTGATCTTCATTACCGGCCGTAGTTGGCCGTGAGGTTTCATCAGAGGTACTGGTGCTGTCAGCGGTGCTCGGACGAGACGATTCCTGAACGGCTCGCACAAATTCAACCATATCTAGAAGACAAATTGTCCACTTCTGTGATTTCATGCACATTACTGGTTATCGTGTTATTACAAAAGTATTAAGACGTTCAACGATGTTTTGAAGACTCTATTCCAGTTGAAAGCTCCTTATCAGACTTTATTTGCATTGTCACGCAACGAGAAGCGTTGCGTGACGACACGTTAGCAAAGAGGCGCATTGCGTGACGACAAAACTAATGAGGTAGTCTATTCTAGTAACAAGCCACTTATAAATAATAACACGATAACCGTTAATGTGCATGAAAAAGAAGAAAAAGTCTTCAATTCCGTGATGTGATACACGTTACCGGTCCTTGTGATATTTCGTCCAATGACATTTTGAACCATTACATTTATTATTATTTTTGAGGGGGTTAGGTTGGGCAATTTCCACCAAAAAAAATTCCTGCACAGCAAAAAAGGCTTGCTCAAACTGGGGAGCCACGGGGAAAAAATTGAGCAATTGCTTTGTACTATCCCGGTTAAAAAAATTATTCCATTAAAAACAATCATGCACAACCTAAAGACGAACAAAATGTCATGCCCCAGAAAATATCATTCCTCAGCAGCTTTTAACATTTATTGACGAGAAGCGCTGCGTGACAGGATGTTGGAAAAGGAGGTGCGTTGCGTGATGTCACATAACAAAGTAGACAATATATCTAGTCACGACCCACTTTTAAATTCTCATAAGTCAACAAGAAGGGCATAAAGCTGATTTTAAAGCAACTGAAAAACGACACTGGGTCTCATCAACATCTTACATCTGACAACTTAACACGTTGTTGTAGCTATTCGAAGGAACCACAAAAGGAGTCCTCTTAAAACCACTAAAGAAAGGTAATAATCTACAAAGAATCAAGGATGGTTGAGACAGGGAAGATAAAGAATAACAGATTACAACATGACTAATTTAGAAAAAAATACCAAAACTTTATATATTGGAAAATTTAGCTCAATTTTCTCGAGAAATCACAGCTCCTTTAGATAGCTAATAAATAACAAATTCGAGGTTTACCTCCTCTCCTAGCAGCTCCCATAACGTCATCACTGAAACCAAACTGCCCCATCAATGGGGCAAGCTGCCCCGACTGTAGTGCAGAACTGAACATTCCCAAGGCCTGAACACGAGAATAAGTAGTAACAGTTTCATATTTTACTTGTAATAATGATAAGAACACCTAACATTCATTAATTAAGAAGACCACATGTATGACAAATTGAGAAAAATACTAGTTCTTAAACGTGTTCCTCTTAGACTACTGGAACAATAGTTCCCTTGTCATGGAAGCTTTACTAAGGCAACCACATCAGACAATCCAATGGCAAGGTAATGGCAATACCAGGCTAAGAGACCCATGCTGCTGAGCTGACCCCGGCTTCCATACCAATACACAGCTAGGGGCATTTACGCTGGGATTTAATGGGATGGGATGCTAGTCTGTGTCGGTCAAAGGGTCTTCATATGTCGTTGGAGATTATTTTGGTTTCTGTAGGAGTAAGCCTCAGGGCTGTCAGTCAGCCTACTAGCAGTAACCCCAACACATGCTACAGCTGAGTACGTTTGAAGGACCCTTAATATTATGGGTGAACTGGCCTATAGTTGATACAATTCAAGTAAAAGATAACAAGTTTGTTACAGGTGTGAAGATCAAGGCTACAGTTGACTTAAAACTTATTGACAACCCTGAAAGCTACTAAGATCATTTCTAGACTGCCCAAGATGGTATCACCACATCTCCCACACATGGAGGACAAGCTTAGTTTCAAAAGATTCAAGCACTACATGCAATATTCCCCTGCTATGGCTTACAATACTGATCAAATATCCTACATCTGGTCAGCCACTGACATGCTCAAACCCACCTGCTGGAACTGAGGTGAACGCAAGGTGCTTGACAGTTCTGTGGGACTCTGTGGCAGCTCCTCGCCAGCTGGAAGAAATGGAGCAAGCTGCTCACGGAACTCTGGGTCTGCCAGTAAGGGCATCAGTGAATCAGGGTTGAGCACATTGGACAGATCCACAGCTGAAATGAACAATGAATAAACAAACTGTCAGTAGAGCAGGAGCTACCTACACGACACCAAGTAAAGGTCATTGGAAAATCTGAGGGCAAAGGGGTTAAAAGCCTCAGTCATTAAGAAAAATATTTATAATAATAGTTAAACTGGAATTTCCCCTGGATATGAAAAGGTCAGGGATGCACATCGTCTCACTTAGGGGTGCTCAGGATGAAAAAGCCAAGTTATTTTTAGCGGTCAAAGTATCTTTTAGGGTGCACTCACAGAAATAGTATTAAAAAAAACGCTGTCATTTCTGTTTTAAGTGGTAACTTTTCAGGGTCAGATAAAGTTCAAGCCACGCCAAGGATGATCTCCATTAGGGGTTAACTCAAATGTTCTCACAAGCATCCCCACCTTTTCATATGGGAGTCCCCCCCCTCCCCACCAAGGAATTTTCCAGCCGCCTTGAAACAAACAAAAGAAAACAACTTGCATGGGAGAAGATTATTATCCATAACTTACTTTCTCTTGGCTGTTCTGCATTCTCAGTGGGTACTGCAACGACAATATCATTCAATAGTTAGTTATTCTTACTGTTCTTACTGCTAGCATTTTACTTAGTGTGATGTAAGAAAGTAACCTAGCATGCCTAGTCAGGATATTTGGAAAGGCTGACAAGTCTTCTATTTCAGTGTACCCAATGTTTTATAACCTCTTCCTTCAACCAAGAGCCACTGTTCAATATGATACCTACTGTGGCTTGTTCCATTCATGGTTGTTGGACAAGTAGAAAGAAATAAGAAAACAATAGAAAGACTCATTATGTTTGTTGTTGCTACTATACCATACACTATAGCATTTTCCCCTCATTCCAACCCAACGGCTATCCATTTTTAACTTGCAATTCCTTTTATACCCTTCCTTTTTATAAGCAACATCCCTTGCAACTTTAACAGTCAAAAAATTTTTTATTACATTTTCAAGTCAGAAGCTCTGAGTGACTTCTCCAGCAAATGCCAGCTGAGCAAATTGACCAATATAAATTTTACATGCAGCGTTTGAGTGTTGAAACAATGGTTACTAATTAATTTCTATGATGTGCAGCTTACAGTCCTTAGCTCCAAAAATTTACCGTTAATGTTGGACAAAATATTCTGTAAGTCACTCAGTTGCACAGCTTGCCTGGCAGGAGGCTGGGTGGGACGGGATGGAGCAGCTGGGGGCACAGTCGGGGTAGCTGTTGCAGGGCGTGGTGTGGTTGTCCCTGATGATGAGGTAGAGGAAGTACTCCTGGGTCCTGGTGAGGACTGCACCCTGGTGGGCCTATGAGGAAAAGTGGTATCGCAATACAATGTACCGTCACCTTTTTTTTTTTCTGACAATTGTTTTTGGAATTGTTTTTTTACTAATGTGCTAGAAATCAGCCCCTGTTCAGTAACAAATCTCATCGACTGATTTTATTTTTCTCTGACAGGTTTTGCCTGGTTACTAATGTCAGGATGTTTTTAAAACTAAGTATTTTATACATAAAGTGGACAAAAAATTGTCCCAATTTAAGTGTTTTGTTTTTTTTATTGAAAAATTCAAATCAATTATTCAACAGATTAAACTTGTTGGAACATTGTACAGTAAGTGAAGCTTATGACGCAGCCATTTCAGAAGTTATGAAACATATCTATTTAACAATTATTCCATGAGCACACATTGGATATAAGTTGGCTCTGANACTCTAAAATTCAAAGCTCAACCGACAAATGCGTTTTTCGCAACCGTCAATCAAATGTTGGGCGGTTCGGCGGTAGTCGGAAGCTGGGAGAAGCCGCCGAACATTTGATTGACTGTAGCGAAAAACCCATTTTTCTGTTGAGCTTTCGGAATTTTAGAGTCCGCATGTCATCGAAAGGCGCAGTAATAAATGCGATTTTTGATCATTGAGTTACTATTGCACAAGGCAACTCGTAATCAGTCGTACAACACGCCTTAAATCTACATATAATATACATATATTTTAGACGAATATCCACGCATGCATCCCCACAGACTAAAAGGGAAATAACTGGGGCCCGAGAAAATATGTTATACCAGACGTACACCAAGAACTTTCCGCTGGCTGCTGGGCAGTTATAAAAGGTGATCTCGTATCTAATGGATGGCAGTAAATATTTTCGTAACAGTCCTTTTCACAATGAATCGAATCTCGCGATATCGCCAGCAGTAAACAAGCGGGTTTATAGACGAGTTAAAGAAAACCAAAATACTAGAGAAATAATATGCCACTAAGGAGGGAATGTGCAAATGATCATGTAAAAATGGAATTCCAGCAATTAGACTCGGAAGATAACAAGCCAGGGCAATAATATACACGTAGAAAGCATTCAAAGATGACTTCTTCACTCTTGCTGCCTCCACTACTCCATCATCATTATGAACCTGACGTTGGCATTGTATCTGATTCTGATGATATCGAACAATTTTGTAAAGGCGAAAATAAGCCATCGATATCACCAGCAGCCCAGCAGCTTGGAAAACCAGCGCAATCAGGTCATTGTGGCTGGGAATCGACATGAAGGCGAGGGTGGAAAGGCCACTCATCAGCCATAAACACACTAAACCGATAACAACTCGTTTCTCTGTGACAAGCTGTTGATATCTTAGATGAAGAAACACGGCGAGTAGTCTGTCCAAAGCGATGGCGGCAATCGAGAAAAACGACACTCCTAACAGAGAATATGTAGCGAACACTGAGACTGTAACGGATGGGCAGAGGCGACCAAAGTCGAAGTTTTCTTTTTCTACCGTATGCAAAATCACTGCAAGAATAGCAACAAACGCAGGTTGAACGCAAGATCCAATGGCAAGGTCGGAGACAGCAAGGCTCAAAAACAACGGTCGTATAGTGGCAGGTATGGACGAGGCTTTCCACATGGCGTGAATGACAAGGAGATTTCCGAAAGTTGCCACGAAAGACGAAAGCAAGTGTAATACACAAAGGCAGAAAACGATCCCTGGCTGAAACTGAACGATTACAGTCAATTCCTCTAATTTCTCGTTGCAGAAGGAAAAGATCATGTTTGGTCTGGTGGATATAGAAAACTGATTAGGGTTTTTAAAGCACCGTGCCTTGTTGTGATAACTTATGAAGCCTACATGTAGCTGTTTTTGAAGGTAAACAGACAGTCAATCATAGAATCATTTAAAACCATCGTTGTTTACACAATGGCGTTATAATTTTTGAAAAAAGCTTAATCATTGGCCATTTAAAGATTTCATGTTGAGGTTGGAAGAGAACGTTTCAGTACTTTGCCAAAATCGGAAGCAGTAACTTAGTTATTATTACAGGCAGCTGCTATGGAAGGTTGAAAATTTTGTCAAATTTATTTTATTGACGCAATTTGTGAATGGTTAAATAATTATCAATTATTCCACGAGCACGCGTTGGATATGAGATGGTTTATAGCCATCTCATATCCGACAAGCCTAGACTACGAGTAGTCCCTCATTCGCTTAGTCCGTCATGCGTGATGCGAAAGAGAACCGCGAGAAAAACATAGCCGCGCGAAATCTTCGAATTAATTAGAGCGGAATCACTGTTTTATTAAAAATACTCCCAAAAAGTAGAAAACTAAGCTAAAATAATCACGCGTGCACTTGCCATATTTGTGGAGCATGGTATAACGGCTCATAACCCATGATGGCTAAGTCAATGAAAACTCTCGAATTGCATTATCCAATGATCCAGTTTTAATATGAGCGATAGTCAAGTAAGCTACCCCTTGTTGACTATCCGCTCATAGAAAACTCAGACTCGTGGTCAGATTGTTATTTATATGGAAAGTACTTTTGTTAATGTTATAATAAGATAAGCTCCGTTTCAACTTGCAATCTGATGAAATTCAACATTTAATGACACACCTCATCGCCTAAGTGGTTAATATATACAGTGTATTATAGTGTTCTCCATTCAGTAATATATCAAACACGAAAGACCGTGTTTGATCACATTTCCAAACCGAGAAGCGGAGTATTTTCGAAGAACTTTGAGGTTTTTGGAATTGTGGTCAAACACTGTCTTGAGTGTTTGATATATCTTCTCTATCGAGCTTAAACCTAAGAAAAAACGGAGAAATAAAATCGCAAAAATCTATGCTAATTATAGGGTCTGGATGAGATTAGCTGACAACTGAACAATGGCGAAAAAAAAAAAAATTGACAACTGAAAAATACCCGAAAATGTATCTAACAACTGACATTTGTAGTGAGATTTCTAACAACAGACCAAAGGCCTCAGCCGTTGATATTCGTTTGAAATACATTGAAAAATTATCTGATGAATACTTTAGATTGCTTTTTGAACCAAATCATCTCACGGAGGTTTCTGTTAAGTCTGTTAATATTAATCGCTCACAATTTTACCCTCACCCTATTTGTTATATGATCCTTGCTTGAAGGCCATGGGCCTCAGGCCACAGGGAGAATCGTAATGTCAGCTGTTTAGCCACTTGAATACCAAATTTTCGCCATAAAATACCGTTTTTAACCAATTAGTCAGGTTTTTTGGCTGCCATGACGCTAAATAAGCCTAAGTTTTGCTAAGAAAGCTTTCTTTTAACCAAAAGGAGAGATTTTTCGAGGATTACGTACAAAATTGAGCAGTAGTTTAATTCCGCGCACGCACATAAGACAAAATTTGGACTTTTTATTTTTATTTTGTTACTTTTTTTTGCCGTTAACCGTTCTCAATTTTGTTTGTTGCCCCTTTCCTTTCTTTTTTTTCGGCCCTTTTACGTTTTGTGTTGCATGTTCTTTCTGGCTGCCGTGAAAAGTTGGAAGTTAATTACGGGCGAAGCCTAGAAATGGACCTTGATCAATCATAGGCATAGTGGACCATTTTACCACCGTCGTTGCACCAAAAGTAAAGTGATAACGCTGTTTTTCGATTGGCGACGCCGGAATGTCGTCGATATCTAAACCTGACGATTGTGCGGAAAGGCCTACCCTAGTACTACCATCTGCTTATCAAGAATATCTGATGACATTTAAATTGATGACGTCACAAGTGGTACAAAANTTTTGATAAGTCAAACAATGAGAAGTGCCCTGTACTGTAAATACATGTAGTTGTAATAAGACAAAGAAATAGAGAAGAGTAATAAGAAAAATGAATCCCAGTCTAAATGGGCTGATTTATAGAGTACGAGTATTCCCTCTTTTGTTTAGTCCATCAAGCATGACCATATATTTCTTTTGCGTCATGCATGGTGGTCTAAGCAAAAGCAGGACCACTTGTAGCCTAGCTAATGAATTTGTACTGTTTAAGTCAATACTGGTGATTCCAAGTTTCAGACCAGTTTTAAAAGTAAGCTCTTCTTTGCAGGCAAATGTCACTCAAATAGAAGTTAACGTCCCACATAAGCATCACAATGCTGTGATTGGTGCCAAGGGTCGACTCATTCGCTCCATCATGGATGAGTGTGGTGGAGTTAGCATCAAATTCCCGCCAGAGGGCAGTAACAGTGATAAGGTCCTCATCCGTGGACCCAAGGATGATGTTGAAAAGGCCAAGAAACAACTTCTTGATCTTTTGAATGAAAAGGTTTGGATCAGAATTGTGAATAAGATTCTTCTGGTTAATGTTAAGGGTGCTAAAATTGCAGCCATAGTCGAACAACGTTGTGAATAAGAAAGGAAATAGATATGCAAATTTTCCATTGTTTTTCACTATGGTATCCCATATTGAACACACCTTTTGCATTGTACATGTATTTCAACGTAAATTCTTTCTTGTGAACTGTTCATGACCCTAGAGCATGCATCCACAGGTGTACTGACATTAGTGCAGTAATATATCAAACACGAAAGAATTTTTTTTTTACCCTAACTTTCTATTTTTCTATTTATTAATAAAAAAGAACGTTTGTAACTGTTGATAGACTCTCCCGCCCAGACTAGCACTAGCTATCCACGGGCCAGTCCAAATCTTAAGGGTAACTGATTAAGAAATAAAATGATTGATTGATTGATTGATTGATTGATTGATTGATTGATTGATTGATTGATTGATTGATTGACTGATTGACTGATTGATTGATTGTTTGACTACATTTCTAAACTCCGAGAAGAGAGTTGAAAATAGGACGCACAGCAAAGTATTTTTGACAGACGTCGAGGTGTTTGGAATTATGGTTCAACTCTGTCTTTGAGTGTTTGATATATCTTCTCATTCGAAACTAAAACTGAGGAGAAAATGGAGAAATGTAATCGTTAAATTCTGTGCTAAGGAAGATCAGATAATCATATCCAAACACCGTCACAGCCATGATTTCCTTTGTTTATACTTGATAAATTATTAATAAGTTTGAGAAGAAAGGTTCGTTTTCCTCGTAATGCTGCAAGACCTTTGATCACTGTCACTCACAAATCCCTTGGCAGGCAGCATACATTTGAGTGGCTCATAATGGTAAACCTGTTTCTGCTTTAACAGATTCTTTTTTGTGTGCCACAGGAAACTAACAGTTACACCCTTGAGATCCGTGCAAAGTCACAGCACCATCGCTTCCTGATTGGCAGAGGAGGGGCCAACATCAAGAAAGTTCGGGAAAATACTGGCGCAAGGGTTGTATTCCCAACACCAAGTGATGAAGACAAGGAACTGATTACAATCATTGGAAAGAAAGAAGGAGTTGAAGCAGCCAAACAAGAACTTCTGAAAGCCATTAAAGATCTGGTACGAAGAGTGCTTTGATTGAAATATCAAATATCCTCATTGGTTTTGATACTTTTTTTTTTGTTTGTTTGAAATTTAGCTCGGAGAATTTGGTGATACTTCCAGATAATATCTCCCTGATGACTTTGTTTATGCTCATCACCTGTTGCTTGTTAATGGATGATTTTGTAAAGAGAAATTAATCTTGCTCACTCTCGATTTTGAAAACGAAGAGACAGCTACTTGATTATT